TCTCTCTCTCTCTCTCTCTTTCTTCTTTTCCTCTTTGTATTCAATTAGGTCATGCGAACAATCCCTAAACCGTATCGTGGCCCTTCTCTTTCGTTTCGTAAAAAATAATCGCATTAGAAACCAAGCAGCAAAAAAGAAAAGAAAGAAAAAGAACAGGTTTTAACGACGCACAGTGGCTAATTTTGTTAATTTACGTGGGCGAAATAAAGATGAAAATGTTTTAACGTTAAATTCTTCTAATTCGAAAGCATCTGAATGCCACGTAATAAATTTGCTTCTGGTTATTATTATTTGTTATTAATACACAATTATTAAATTTATTTTCCTACTCGATATGGATATTGATTAATCTCTTATAGATTTTCTATTTAATGTACGAGTATTGAAACTCTTTGTTACTATACACTTGAATCACTCATTAAAAATACAAATATATAAAAAAAAAAAAAAAATATTTACAAATTTGTCTACGTAGGTCGTTTAATTTAGCCACAGTGTGCTATAACAAGATTCTCGAAACTTTTTCTCCTCAAAGTTTCTCAAAGTTTTGATTGGGACACGACTTTGTTAGTTATCGGTAGCTGAGAATTAAAATTAAAAAGGTCGAAAAATAAAAGCGTTGATACAACGAAGTGCCAAAAGGGAAGAAATATTACGAAGAAAAAGAAATGTTACGTTGCTTTTCTCGAGGAGAGATGTGGAAACGCGTAGGAAAATAGAAAATAATAATTAAATTTGTATATACTTGTTAATTTTATGATTAGAAGAAAAAGATCGATATAATTTCTCTGTTTCGTGTTTCGTGTCTCGGTTGTTCCCAGATCGCGGGAAAGTTACGTTGAAATTACCTTTCCTGCGATCTGCAAAAACAATTATTTATTACATATGTATAAAGAAATATATATATATTATTATTGTAATATTAAAATGATTATATTAAGTTGGTTCTGTGAGAATCGATCGACTGATGTTGGATGCGTTTCGGCGACCGTTTTATACAGTAAATTAATTCGTTTAGATGAAATAGCCTTTCTCGCCAATCAAAGATATCGAACCCATTTATTTTTCGTATTTTCGCGTATCATATATAGGAGGCCGTATGTACGATTGTGTGACAATGTACGATATAATTCGAGAGAACTAACGTGTGCTTTGAAATAGAAACCTTGTAAGCTGACGCAAGTATCATGGAAACACGTGTACAATGAGTATTAACAACAGGAAGATTAATTTAAACGACGGTGGTTTGATCGAGCCTTGGTGATCCTCGAAATTATCAACCTGAGCGAAATTTCTAACTGTTCTAACAAATTTTGACAATTTTGTATTCAGAAAAAAATTCAACTACTGAAGATATACTCTAGGAACGTAAAATAAAGTAATACGAATATTAAAATTATATTTCTAATGTAATATATTTGGAATGGGAGAAAATATTTAAATGCTTACTTAGCACACATAAATTCAGGGGGGAAATATATATTGGATTGTTCGTAGAAAAGTTTGAGAAAAAAAATTTATTGTGCAAAATATAAATTAAATAATATATATTCATGCACCGAGTAGTATCGTTCTTTCAGAAAGCCATTCTCAATAAATTCTTTTGAGCGTTGAAGATATTTAATTTTTTAGAAACAAAGTTTTATAAAATCAGTAACAAATCACTGTGGTAGCGTGATGATCGATTGTGTATTAAATAAATGGAATTATTTAAACATTTCTAATTAATTAATTTCGATTTCTCTTTCAAACGAAGAACAATATTTGTTTGAATGTAGCACTTCAATACTTTTGTCAGAAATAAATACTTCTCTTCCAATGTTACTCGTATAATACAGGATATAATAGTATATTTACTATTTTAAAAGCTGTAAATTTCCCGAACAATCCAATATGTGTAACAAGATCGAGTATATAAACATAGGAAAATCTTTACTGATTGTACCACGAACAATTTTATTGCTACTCTTTTCTATAATATAAAATTTCCAAATCCTCCAAAACATTACAGAAAATATATTGTAATAATTTTTAAATTCTTATTTTGAGTAATAATTATTAATCTGCAGACTATATTTTTCAAAAATTGAATGCAGAAATATAAAGTATATAAAATATAGAAAGCAGAGTTCTTGTTGTGATATTCAATGGTAGAAACAAGTTTCAGTTCGGTTCAAATCTCATTTCTTTAATCGTATTCAAAAAAAAAGTGCAAAATTGTATAAAATTTCACAGTCTATTGAGGACGAATCAAATGAAATTTGATCAGCAACAAATATTTTCCCTTGTTCATATATACTCGCGATGTGCACGTAAAAGAGAGTTAACAAAACAACCATCAGTAGCAAGGCTCGATCGTTTCCACCTTAGCAAGCCGACGACCGTCTTCAGGGTGAGTCTCGGCAACCCTCTATGTCCCGGACACGTCTTATCTCCTCTTTATTCCTTCGCTCGCGAATAATGTCGAGAGGAAACACCACGTGCACAGGTCGTCTGTAAAAATGCAGCGGCCAGGGTGAACGTGAGAAGTCATGCGGAAGGGGCGAAAGGGGTTGTTGCCGGAAAAAAGTGGAAAAATCCGGGGCGGACGTTGTTCCGCGGAAACACGCAGCCTGTAAAACCGGTCGATCGCCAAAGAGTCCTCTAGTCCCTGGTCGGAGAAATCCGAAAAGGCTGTATACATGTATCCC